ACTTTCAATCTTTTAGAGCTTACTGCAGGGGTGGCGCAAGCGGGGGGTGGGGATGGCGGGGAAGGGCCCCGCGTCGGGGAGAGCTGGTACCCCCGTCGGGGAGAAAAAGCACAATTTGTTGGGGAGGAAAAAAATGTATTTTCTACATATTAATATGAGTCTAAAATCGATTTAATAAGCCTTTGAAATCCCTAACACTGAATTGTCAAAATGTTTGTGGGCTTCGCCCTCTGAACCACTTTAAACCCTTTTAGTCGAAACTCGGCCACGCCCACTTTGCTTTCGTTGAGGAAATTTGACTTCTCGTCGGAGGAATCGCCCCCCCTCCCCATCTCCCGTCGGAAAATCGTGGCGCCACCCCTGGCTTACTGCTCAGCCTCTTGTAAGCCACTTGTCGGAAACCTCCATCCCCACCTTCGGCGACTTTTAAATACATACTACCTTTGGACCTTCTGATGTAATTTCGTACTACCTGTACCAGGGAGGTATAATACCTCCATGCCTGTACTAAGTAAAGAACGTTCGGAAAATTTGGGGGAAAAAAATAATGCTTGGGCCGATATGGGGCTCGAACCCATGACATTCGCGTTATTAGCACGACGCTCTGCCGACTGAGCTAACCGGCCATGTCATCCACTTTATTTTATTGTGATTCAAGGATTTTTTGATCAGCTTTAATACTAAGTAGCAACTCTCGAGGAATGAAACCATCATCTCAGTTTCTTCAATAATGGTAGTTGGGGCGGGGCAAAGGTGGCGGAATGAATAAGATGGTAGTTGTGAGGCAGGGCAACAGAAGAGGAGAAAAACAAGAGATGGTCGGGGAGAACAAAATTGATGTAGGCCTAAGTAATTTCTACAGTTTCTGACAATAATTGATTATTATAATATAAAACTTTCAATTTCCCAATCTGTTAGAGAGCTTACTGGACAGCTCTAAGCCTACTAACTTGTCGGAAACCTCCATCCCAACTTTCGCTAACTTTTTAAATACAAGGTGTATTACCTTTAGACCTTTTGATGTAATTTCGTACAAGTAAGAAACGTTAGCTAAATTATAAAAAAGTATTACTTGGCCGATATGGGGCTCGAACCCATGACATTCGCGTTATTAGCACGACGCTCTGCCGACTGAGCTAACCGGCCATGTAATCCACAATGTAAAAATAATTTATTGGCTCTCTCTTTCAAAACAGAAGAAAACTCTCACGCAGGAGAGGTTCGACCATACAACAGAACAAAAGTTACAAATAAAGATAAAATTAATGAAAAAGAGATAATAGTAA